AGGGGAACTTGAAATTATTTGGAGCCTTAAAAAGAGCTCTGCATACTGGAGAGTAGGTGAAATTTTTTTGAAGCCAGACTGTCAAAAGCAGTCATGTTCTGGGTTTTCTGCACCTTCCTCAGGAACCTTCAAGAGCCATCTGTGGTAGGATGCTGTACAGGCCTTACAAGTGATTTAGACCCCTTCTGCCCATGCTCTTAATGTCACCTATTGCATGAATTCAATATTAATTATTTATTAATCCAATAAATTCAATAACTGGCCCAGTTATTTAATTTATTGGATTGAATAACAACATCAAAATAATTAAAGCTAGTAGCAGAATTTAAAATTACTTGTGAAAACCTTTGCTGAACAAGCCATACAAATAATGAAAACAAACAAGCAAATAAATCACTGACTTTTTCAACTTGAAAATTGACAACCAACCAAAGGTTTGATTGAATTTGGCAGGTGACATTATTGATGAAAAATCAACTTCCCAAAAGTAAATTAGTATTTTTGCCAACAAAATTTTAAAATTTCAAACAAGAACATTTTATTCACTCATGCCTCCAGATATGCTATATATTCTTGAGCACCATCTACTGGTGCTGCATTATTAATTAGCTATTTATGAATATATGAATCACTTCTCTAATAAAATTAATTAGAATTGTATAATCTTTCCAAGTATATTTAAAATTGAGAAGGCAGAACATATCCTGTTATTTATTAAATTAATCTTTCCTCTTAATAACAGAGAGAAAACTAATACTGGTGAAATTAACTTAGAATCTGAAATTAATAGAGAAATGCATTAAATGGTTTGTAACATCCTGGACCAGAAAACAAGTGCAAGTCCGTGAATATTTTTTTTCCAATTTGCATTTGTTCTCAATCTGTTGGAGCTACAAAATAATTTTCTTCTCTTCTTATTTAGGTATTTAGTGAATTTTATAATACCTGTAATATGGCCAGCATCTTCCATTTTATTTCTTTGCTTCACATCAATTTACATAACATTTCTTTTGAAGTGGTCACAGCAGCTTTGGATTTAACATTTTTCCTGACTTGGAGCTGGGAAATACAGCTTGGTGTTCTACAGAAGAATATGTAATGCAGAGTAGAAAGTCTATTCTTACCAAAGGGGATTTTGAAGGACCTTGCATATCTGCGAAAAGTGGGATGTGGGAAACAGACCAGGGGCACTTCTACATAAGCCAAGAGGCTCAGTGTAACTATCCCTCAACTCTTATCTGTAAATTGAGTCCATAAGAACATTTTCCTTTCTCGTGTACATAGAAGGACATGTCTAGATGTAATTCTGGAGTCAGTTAAACACGATGATTATGATTATGATGATAATAATAATAATGAATGAAGTCCTTGTTGAAAACAGTTTTAAGATTTTTTTTTTATTATTAAATGTGTGCCTTCAGTACTGGAGATAGACAGTCTCATTTGCTCAAAGGAGTGACACTGCAGGCTGCAACAGTGACCTTTACCTAAAAAGAGTCCCCGTAAGAGTGGTTAGTGGTTTAGTAAGAGAACAGTCCATGCTCCAAAGCCACTTGCTTTAAACTGTGGTCTTCCTTTCCAAATTTGCACCTAAACTGTCAGTGATAATTCCAATTGTATTGAATTTTGTGCTATGTTCACTAAAATCTGGACTGAAATCATCTCACTGCTGTCACCAAGATACTGAAGATCTCAAAGTACTTCTGCAGATCTGGGGGAAAAAACTCAACTAAACAAGCCCTTTAATTTATTCCACCCAACATATTAAATTGGGTAAGCCTCATTTTTTCTCATTAATACAGACATTACTTAAAAACACTACTTTCCTCCCTCTTTCCTTGTTTGGATCAATACCAACTTATCAGTAACAATTGCATTGAGTCTAGAAAGTAGCACTATAAATTTAGCATTCACTATGTTGTGCCTATCCCTACAACACTACTACTGAGCAACATAACACTTCTTTCAGTGCCTTGATACTTTCTTTGTAGTACAGATGGCACCACGTGCACCATGCAGGGCTGACAGCCCTCCCATGAAACACTGTGGGATTGCATTAATGCATTTACCTAGGTTTTAACAGAGGTACTCAAACAAGATTGATCTGCTCAATATTTCCAAATTATGTGCATAGGTTCATTTGCATCTGCCCTTCAGGCTGTGTAGCTTAGGAATAAATGCACACACAAAATAGGACCATTCCAAACACAAGTGATCTGCACGCCCAAATTAAACAAACATCTTGTCACATTTCTACCTATTTATATTTTGCAGACTTTAACATATCCTGACTCTCACTTCTAGATTATCAAAATAACATATATACATACAAAAGAACATATTTTCTTTTCTCTCAAATGCTGCACGACACCTGGCAAACAATTTTTTTTTTCTCAAATTGGCTTCAATTCCAGTAGAAAAACACCTGCAAGTGGATTGCAGATATTTGTTTACTCAGAAAAATGGTATAGCTTATTTTAGTTCCAGTCATTAAAACCTTATTCATGCAAGGCTAATCACACAAATCTTATGAAGATATTTTCAGAGTGCTCTGTGCATTCATCCCATCCCACCCTGTCCCATCGCTTCCCACCTTTCTACCCCTCAGCTGCCATAGTTAACCTAAGCATGACCTGTGCAACGCCCACCCTTTCCTTCGTTTTGTGGACAAGAGGTTAAGGAGCCTTCCATCCCAGACTCCTCTCCAGCATTGCCATATCTTCACAAAACTGAAAAGTTCAAGTTAATCACTGGATTGGAATACCTAGGAGATGTCTAAAGACAATTACTTACCATACATTGTGCATTCATTATTTTTTAATTTCCACTCACAATTAAAGGAGCTACAACTTGCCAATGCCATAGAAAACACATAAGAGTCCATTCAAGTTGTTTTATTTTGTGACTTACCTTACAGTTCTTCATTTAATGTAAATGAGATGAAAAAATTATTCAAATATTGCTTTGTATGTACACCTTTGATTTGTTCTGCTCATATCACCCTGTCAATGAACAGAAGTTCCCTTTAAGTACTTTAAGCAACATGATGATCACCCACAGGTAGTATGTAACGTCACCAAATTTGAGAGACTTTGATTACCTCTGAGCTAGTAACAGTTCAGTTTTCATTGCATTGAAATAGAACATGAACATTTCTCACATTTTCCTTGCTTTGGGTAGATATTTTTTATTTTGACAACAGGGATATAACATATTTATGAGTGTAAAAGCTAGCAGGGATGTGGTTTACACCTTATACCTATGGAAAATACAGTAAAAAGATATAACCATGTTTTGGTTTACTTTGGTCCAAAGTGGTTTGTGACCAGCAATACCTCCGATCACAATTTATGCAGCATTGTAATTGTAATCAAAAAAGCTCTGTGTTTCTGGAATTCAAACCTTGCAGGGGCTAGAACAGGACTGCAAGGGAGAAAACTGCTTGCTTTAAAGATTGATTGGTTTGGATGTTGTCCAGAAATTTAAACTTTCATTTCATCAGGATGGGAGGTCATGTCCAAAGCCACAAAGTCACAATTCATATGAACTTTGAGGGCTTGGAGTGGCTCTATTGCCCCACAAACTCGCAAGGGCCTTGTGCTCTCTGCAGAATGGCAGCAGTGGGAGCACACGACATCCAGGCTGAGAGCTGCTGAATGACAGCAGCATTTATTAAAATGTCATCTCCTAATTTTCACGCCGGATATCTGTTGTTGTGCAGACTGCCCCGATATCTCACGCCAGCGGGAAGAACCAGAGGACAACCCAAGTCGACCTGGGGAGCAGGAGGGACACAGCGGGAGGGGAGGGCAAAGAAAAGCATACTCAACCATAACCAGATGTACCAAAAAAAAAAAAAAAAAAAAAAAAAAAATAAAATAAAATAAAAAAACCGGAAAAGGGGAGCGCCCTGCTTATGGCAAAGCTTTTTTCATGAACCTTCCCCGTCTGACCCCACCCGCCGCCGACGGTGGCACTTCAGCCGCTGTCGCCTCGCAAACTCCGCTCTCAGCCGGGGCAGCGTCGCTCCCGCACTGGGCACCGCGCCGGGCGAGCCCCGCCGGCGCTCCATCCCTCATCCATCCCTCTCCGTGCGAAGAGGGCGGCCGGCGGCAGCCGAGGGAATGGATGCGGCTGCGATCGGGCACTGCCTTATCTCTGGCGGGGAACAAACGCGGCGTTAATTGCAGCCGCGTTGAGAAAATTGCTATTGTTTCTAATCAGAGGCGGGCGGCAGTTTGAGAGGGTTTATCCCGGGAGCCCTGTATCAGTTAATCTGCATCGCGGGGCCGAGCCGACAGCTCCCGGGGCTGCGGCGAGGGGGAGGTTGTGCTTTGGAAGAAAAAACAAGAGGAAGGAGATCAAGTGCAGCTTCCCGCCCCGGCGCCCCCGTTTCCCTCGCTGCCCGCCCGCGGGTTCTTCCTACGCCGGGGCGCAGCGGCCCCGCGCTGGGAGCGGCGGCCAGGGAGCCGCGCCGGGAGCAGCGCGCGGCGCTCCCGGGCCGCGCCTGGCGCCCCGCACAGCGGGCGCGGCTGTCGGGGCCGGGGGGCGCCGCGGACGCGCGCGGAGCGGGGCGCAGGCGCGCGCACGCAGGCGCGCCCCCCCCACTCCCCCAGCGGGCGGCCGGGGGCGCGCACGGGCGCGCGCTCCCGGCGCGGCTCCCACGGAGGCGGGCGGGCTCCGCGCGCGCGGGCGCGCAGACGGGCGCGCGCGCACGCACGGGCGGGCAGAGCCGCACGCAGCGGCACAGACGCGCTCCCGCTCCCGGGGCCGCCGCCGCTCCCGGGGCCGCCGCCGCTCCCGGGGCCGCCGCCGCTCCCGGGGCCGCCGCCGCCGCCGTGCTCCCTGCGCGCCCGGCGCTCGCTCCGCTCCCCGACATCGGCAGCCGAGGACCCCCCGCCGCTGTCCGGCCTTTAGTGCCTGGGGGGGAGGAGGAGGAGGAGGGAAGGAGGAATAAATCTATTAGTAATAACAACAACAACAACAACAACAAAACCCACCAACAAATCCGCACTAGCGCCTTAGTCCTTCTCTCAGACCGTCGACTGCCTGGCATCGCCGTGCATCGGGCTGCTGTGCTGAGACTTTGTTTCAAGTAAAAAAAAAAAAAAAAAAAAAAAAAGAAAAAAAAAGAACCAAAAAAACAACAAAAAAAAACAAACAAAAAAAAAACCTTCGCTCGCTCAGCCACTTCCATTTTTTTCCCCTGCAGTCTCGCTGGTTTGAGGTGGTTGTTTTTTGGTTTTTTTGGGTTTTTTTTCTGTTTTCTTTCCCTTCATGTGGTTGGATTTGGTGGATCCGGAGCTAAAGCCGATTTTTTTTCCTCAGTGGGGTGTGCGAGTGGCGTGCGGGGATTTTCTCGCTGCGTTTTTTATCTTCTGCTGCTTTTTTAAATCTTGGTTTTCAACCTGAGCCGGGAAAAATGGGAAACGGTGCTTCCGTCAGAAGGGGAATCTCTCCATCACTGTTGTTGGGACGTGTGCCTGTGGTGCTAGTGTTTTAGAGAAATAGCCTGACAGCTTTCGGAGTGGAAGGTAAGGGTGCCCGGGGCATTTCCATTTCCCATTTCCAGGGATTACGACTGGAGAGCTTTCAGTTTGGGATTCCGGGGAGGAGGCGGCGGAGGAGGGGGACAGGCTGTTGCTGAAGGATAGAGAGAGAGACAGCACATACGAAATGATCTCCGCATTTACTTCAGCGCTGCAGTTTAAAAGTTAGAGAAGTCCGTTTTGCGACGGGTCTGCTTCCCTGAGAGTAATTTCCAGCGAGACCGAGAAAACCTGAGGTTTGTGCACGATTGGGGTAATTTGTATTGGGGGTGGGGGGAATTGTTAGGTTAATAGGAAGTTAAAATAAGAGAAGTCAGTGGGTCTTCTGTTGGGGGGAAAAAAAAATAAATGGAGTGATGGCGCCGTCTATGTTCGGCTAAACTACAGTGTCACCTAGAAAATCAGTTCGGGGAATATCCAAACTAAATGCCCGTTTCTTTTCAGCAGAAGAGAATTCTCCCCCTTCCCAAACAGGCAACCTTAAGCCTCTGTGGCCATCCTTTAACTCTCTCCTCCATGGAAAAGGATGATCTTTTTTATCTGTGTGTCTTAATCCTTCCAGCGAGCAGGTTCACTCTGCATCTAGCAATGCTGCAAGCTGACTGAACGCTGCCGGCACACTCAGTTCGTGTGTGTGTGCATGTGTGCGTGTGTAATGCACACAGGGAGAGAGGGATTAAGACAGTGTTCTGTTGCAGTAGCCGTGCATGAACAAATGCACAACTAAAATGAGGGCTTTACATTTCTTCATAGAAAACAGCCTAGCACTGCAGAGGTCTTTATTTTTCTAGTACAGATATTACATAGGATGGAAAAAAGTCAGAGGCTTTTTTCCTTTTAAAACAGAAAAGCAAATAAGCTCCCCTTCTACTTTCCGGATTATAAAATTAATCCTTTTTCATGGGTGGAATTCTTAATTTAGACACTTATTGTCACATTGGCTTTCAACGCCTACACCATCCTGAATAACACTGCGCAGAACTGCATTGCCTGCAAAGTGCTTCAGCAAAGGGAAAATTGTTTCCAGAATTCCCAATAAGTTTATCTTTTTTAAAACCTTAAATGCTGTACCAGCCCTGTTTGGAGAAGGAGAACCATGTTGTTCATTGAGACGGATGCTTAGAAAGGAGAAAATCTGACCATGTGGATAGACCCAGCAGCAGCTCTTCTCTTTGTTTTTTTTGTTTTTTTTTTTTTAAACCTCTGCTATAAAGAGGGTTAGAGTTGGTGCTGCCTTTTGCCCATTTCAGGATTCAGAGTTTGCATTATAATCTAGGAGATGCAGAAATCTCTTCAAGGGAGCTTAATCCGGTGACTTGCTATGTGTTACGCAATGGGAACAGAAGATGCCTTGCTGTTTGGTGAGGAGATGAAAAGCTAGGCAAAGACACACATCAAAACTCAGTAACAGTGCCTTTGTGTATGTGTGCCTCTGCTTACAGAGCAACAGTGGAAGAGACTGCAATCTAGAGAGTTTTGAAATTAGGTTGGTATCACTTCTTTCTGCTTACATTTAAGAGCAGAGAGTGAAAAACTACTCATTTGTAAGAGATAAGCAACTTTTCAAAGGTTAATGCTGAAAACCTTCAACCTAAAATTTTTGGGATATCATTATGGTGGTAAATGTAACTCAGGTTCACCCTATGAACCCAGGCCACTGTTAAAAGAAACAGAGCATGTGGAGACTCTGAGGGTTGGCAGGTGCAGTAAAACAGCTTTATTTGGACATACTAGCAGAGAAAATGTAATATTTTCTTTCATTGTTCAAGTGCAGGGCTGCAAAACACAAGAGCTAATCAGACAGTGCAAGTAATTCATAATCAGAGGGCAAGTGCAGTCCAATAGGTGCAGAGATCATGCTGTAGCATGGCCAGTACATAGAGCTACTGATTGTAATACTAATACGGAGATCCATTTTTTTAATATCCTTAGAGGCTAAAGCACATTGAAATTATTATCTAAAAAGCTGGCATTTAGTGGTTGTGTCAGATTAGCAGTAGTTATATCCATCTGTCTTTGTTTCTTTCTTCAATACTGTCAAAAGTGTATTATGACATTAATCTCAGTATTTGCTGCTTTTTTAGAGACCTCAATATACCAGACAGCCAGGGTGAAGACATGTAGGCATATGGGAGATAATGTTCTATCTATAACAAATAGTAATTGGAGAATTTTTAAATTATAGCTGTAATAATTCAGTTACTTCTCAGACTTAAGAGAAAAATAATATATAACAAATTCTACCAGATTTCTTGTTCGATTCTGGTGAAATTCTGCAGGTGCATATCTTATATGAACGTACATAACTATAGCAGATTAATTATTTACTTTTTGAATAAATAAATAAATAAATAAATAAAATCTTCTCTTGATCTGTCAGGTAAGGCATCTAGGTTTTTACTTAAGTTGAACAGTTCTAGTCCACGCCATGATGACTAAATCCTAGAGAGGAGAAGACATTCCTATTAATAATCTAATAGATGTTGAGTTTTAATTTGTCTGTGGAAGACGTGTCTGTGGCGATGGCCACGTGATGGCGCTGTGCACACAGCAGCAACGCCGGCCCTTGCGTTATAAAATAAAAATTACCTGCCCTTCTTTCTGAAAGGGGCTCTAACTGCAAGCTTGAAAACAGCTGGCTCGAATATTGGAAGGAGTTTGGTGTTCTATGCCTGAAGAATTCTACTTGCATTTTTATTTCATTTCATCTCCTGCAGGCCAAATGACATAGGATGAAGGCTGTTCGTAATTTGCTGATTTATATATTTTCCACCTATCTACTGGTTATGTTTGGATTTAATGCTGCCCAAGACTTCTGGTGTTCCACGTTGGTGAAGGGGGTCATTTATGGATCGTATTCTGTAAGTGAAATGTTTCCTAAAAACTTCACAAACTGCACTTGGACGCTGGAAAATCCAGATCCAACCAAATATAGTATTTACCTGAAATTTTCCAAAAAGGACTTCAGCTGCTCCAACTTTTCCCTCTTGGCTTATCAGTTTGATCATTTTTCTCATGAAAAAATAAAGGATCTTTTAAAAAATAATCATTCTATAATGCAGCTCTGCAACTCCAAGAATGCTTTTGTATTTCTGCAGTATGATAAGAATTTTATTCAGATACGTCGTGTCTATCCTATCAACTTCCCAGGATTACACAAAAAAGAAGAAGACCAAAAATCCTTCTTTGAATTTTTGGTATTGAACAAGGTGAGCCCTAGCCAGTTTGGGTGCCATGTGTTATGCACTTGGTTGGAGAGCTGCTTGAAATCTGAAAATGGGAGAACCGAGTCCTGTGGGATCATGTATACAAAATGCACCTGCCCTCAGCATTTGGGAGAATGGGGAATAGACGACCAGTCCCTGGTGTTGCTCAATAATGTGGTGCTGCCCCTCAACGAGCAGACGGAAGGCTGCCTGACCCAGGAGCTGCAAACCACCCAGGTCTGCAATCTCACCAGAGAAGCCAAACGGCCACCAAAAGAAGGTAGGTGCTTCTTGGAGGGGGGGCTGAATGCCATGCCAATGTGTAAGTCCTGCTGCCAGCTCTCCTTAATACTCACATTCGTTTCAGTTGCTCTCCACTCTGGCTCTCCTCTAGATGAGGCAAAAGGGCTGGAGAAGATGCACACTCCCTTAAGGGCTGCATTTTCATTTCCACACCAGCCTAACCTACAGCAAATAGTTCTGCTGAGTACTGTTGAAACTCCTCACAAGTAGGATCCATCTGTTTTAAGGCCTCACTTACAGTAATGCCCACAGGTGGTGAGCCAGAAATCACTCTCCCCCTCACCGTCTCTTTACAGCAACCACCCAACTCCAAAACCTTGGCCTTCTTGATATGATCTCTTGACTTTGCAAGGAATATATTTCCAAAGGCATGCAGGCATCCTAACCAAAAGACCAAGAAATTTACCATGTTCAGGATACCTGGTCCCTGGGCCAGACCTCAGCAACCTACAAATTAAGCAAGAGCAAATGCAATTCCTAAGGGTGAAGCCTCTGCCTGAGATGCTTGGAGAGGCAAGGCATTGCACAGGCAGAACATGCTGGTTTAACCTCCTGGGAGCTCTGGGAAGGGGCCAGTGGCTGCTCCTGCACCCATTCCCCAGGCAGTCCCAGCTCCCAGAGATGAAGGCTCAGAATCTCATTGCAGTATGAGCATGGAGGGGGTTGATGTGTCATTCCCAGCAGCTGCTTCAGTCCCAGCTGCTGCTTCATGTCCCCGCTGGAAAAAGGAGAGGGGGCTGTTGTGGAAAGGTGGGAAGTCAGGGGTCTAGCTGTTAGCATGGCAGCCTTCCACCTAGTCCCTCTGCTACATACATAAAACAGGATGGTTTAGCCTGACAATTTGGGGAGGTTGGGGCAGGAGGGTGATTTTTAGCTGGATTTTGATGGGCTGTGCTGCAGGGAAAGCACGGGTTGAGCATAGATGGGGGCTCTGGATACAGGCTCTTGGCGAGGGGGTCCTTCAGAACTGCCATGCGGGAATGGGGGGAGGGTAAGGATAAATCATCGAGTCTGGGGTATTGCATTTTAATGCAGGAAATGTTCCCTCTCTCCTTGTTTTTTGCATAGCCACAAAGCTCTCAGTCTGTGGCGAAGCAGTGCCAAGCTCCCAGCCCCCCTAATAGAAGTTGCTTTGTGGAGGAATGTAACATTGACACGTTGTTAGGAGACGATTTTCTTTAAGGGCAGCCAAGCCCCAGTGCTGTGGGAGAAGAAAAGCTGAACCTGCTCCAGCTGCCGCGGTGCCAGCGGCCAAGGGCAGGGCCGGGGGAGGGGAAGGCTGGCGAGCGGGACGCTTGGAGCGTCCGGCGGCTCCGCGCTCCCCCGCCAGCCAGCAGCAGCCCGGGATCACAGCGGTTCTGACGGGCGGGGAGGCCCGGCTGCCGCAAAAGTCCCCTAGAGAAGCTCGTTCAGTGGCAGGGATGGTACTTAACATCCTTCAGAGCTAAGTAGCGCCCAGGGAGGCGGAGGCAGCCCCGGCCGCAGCAAGCGGAGCCCCGGGCGCTGCGCGGGTGCGGGGGGCTCGCACCGCCCGTCCGCGGCCGCTGCGCTGGGTGGGAGACGCCGCCTCGCCCCCCCGGCCTCCGCCTGCGAGCCACGGGAACCGCGGCAGCCGAGCCCCAGGGGAGAGCACCAGCTCCGCGGAGCGGAACAGCGCAGGATGCGCGGTCGCGGTGCGCGGTCCAGCCGGCCCCAGCGGCGCGGGGGCGCGGCCGCCGGGGCGGAGCGGCGCGCCCGTCCTGCCTCCCGGCGGATTCCCGACCCCCGGCTCCGGCTCCCTCGGGGGCTGGGGCGAGGCAGCGCCCGCACACTGGCTGCGCCGGCTGCCGGGGGCCCTCACATCTTTCCCCAGAATGCACCAAATTCCAAGAGGATAAGTGTATCCAGGCTAAAGCATCTGTTTCGGAAACATAGTTGAAAGGACGGAGGAAGCTTAGGGCAAGAATTTCTTTGGTTTTTATCTTCCCTTAAATTTTGAAATATGTTTTCAGCATATTTTGCTTCCAGTTTCAGACATATTTTAATTCTTGTCCCTACTCTTGAGTTTTCCTGCAGATAAGCTTGAGAAATGGCATTGTTAGAGAGGGTGGAAATTTTATTTGGTAGGTGGAAGGTTTGATTTGTTTGTTTTTCACTCTATTTAGTGGTTTTTTTTTTTTTTTTGTTATTTTATTTGGTAGGTGGAAGGTTTGATTTGTTTGTTTTTCACTCTATTTAGTGTTTTTTTTTTTATTGATGTACAATTTTTACACTATTAGAACTTCAATTAATGCACTTTGAAATTTTTCATCAGATTTTTACTCAAAGTTACAACCAGTTTGCAAATTAAGCCTTACAGTACTTCTCAGTTAGCAGTAAGGTTATTGTTTTTCACTCAGTGTCAAAAGTATTTTTTCCCTTTCCTCAGACGGCTAAAAATCTGCAAGGGAGGTGTGTTTAGTCTTTGTTTTTATAGATACAGTTCCATTCATTAAACACATCAGTCAAGTGTATCTGTTTGTAAAAAGCTGGCTTGTGGTTCCGCTCAAGGCCTTATTGAGGGATCAAAACTAGAGTATTCTTGCTACAAATATGAAGCAGTTCATCACATCTGTCAGCGAACATTAAGGCAAGAAATACAAATTTTGTTTTCACAGACAATCTAGTTCAAGTTAGATTGGCACAGATAGCATAAATAAGGCAGACTAATAACTAAGAAATGGTTGTCAGGATTCATATTGGCAACTGAAAGTACAGTTTTGCTAGTGTAAATTGAGTTTTAAGGGAAATGGAGTTTACTACTGAGACAGTGCTCTAGATTTTGTAAGACTGTATTTTATGAATTTGTGCATTATTTTGAGGTTTGGTACTGACGTTGCCTAGAACTGACTTTTGGAAAGGAATTGCAAAGACCTGACAGCTTTCTAAGTATTATGCAAACCTTCCCATCCATCAGATTTGCTTTCATCAAGCCTGACTGTATGAAGTGTAAAATCTTTTCCCAAAACTATTTTCAGTCACATTTTAGAACCCTTATGTAAATAGAGAGCATTAAGATTAAAGCCAACTGTTTCTATTTTGAGCCTCTGAAGACTTTACAATTTTGAATATGATAACGGGCTTAGGAAAATGGATGAAAGTGGATATTTTTCCTTTTTAAGTAGTGTTGCATTTTACAAAAGATGTGACAAGTATACAATGGATCATTGTGTTTCTAAATGTGCTGAAGTGTTGAACAATGAAAGGATCTAGGTCAAAAAAGTAGGAGCTGTAACTATTGCTTTTTAATAAAATGGTTTGGAAATATGTAGTTTATTCAGCATTTTTTCTGTAGGAAGATCATCTTTGGTGTCATTGATTACAGCAATATTGAAAATCACTACCGTTTTACTTAGACACAATTTCCTTGTATCTAGATCCCTTTCTGTGGCCTTACATTTGAGATGCTTACCCTGGATCAAAGCACTGGCAAATAGATATCAATGAGTACTTTGGTAGGCTCCAAAATTTAAGGCCTGTAGGAAATTTGTCCTCTTGATTGTCAGTGCTGTGACTGAAGTACGTCATGAAGTTTCTGTCAATAAGACAGGACTCAGTTCCAAGTCTAGTAGACAGGTAAAGACTTTGTATGTAGTCAATCCAAGAGAAAACCCATTATTGTGGCCATAATATTATTGTGGCGTTTTGTAACAGTTACTTAGACAGAAACTACACAGAGTTTCCTGTTGTGTTTACTGCCAAATCTGACAGGGTTCCTCCTAAAAGAATTGAAAGAATTTTTGATCTGTTATTACATCCAGGAGGAGAAGATAAGGGATGTTCACATTTAATAAATCTCAGCATTTGGAGCTCCAGGCTTAATCTTGTATTTTATGTTCAGATGGTCTAAAATAATTTTAGCAGGGATATTTTATAACGCTAGAAATGTAGCATTGGTCTACTTTGTCAGAAATTCTCAGAGCTCAATGTGTACCAGCATGTCAGTATTCAGCAACTGATTTTTTTTTCCTGATTCCAAGTCTGACAACACAGAGATCTTAACAGAGAATTAGTGTAATAGATGTGTCTTTAAAATAATAGTTTATGTCACACTGTTGAATAATAATAAGATGTAGGATGCAGATAGTTTTGTAGAACCTTCATTACATGTATTCATTTATTTATATGCCATTCCATGAATGCCTACTTCCTGTTGCACACATTTGAGATTAATTCATAATATTCATCACATACCCAGAGGTTACTAGCTCAATGAGTAGGCTGGACATCCCTAGTCAGGAAGTCATAGTCAGTAATAACATGTCATATCATGGCTCCATCACAGGATTTAAACTGTTAAATCAGTGTAGGATTTGTCTAGTAAGATAAAAAATTACAAAATGGAGTCTAACAACCATATACTTTGACAGGAATAGTTAATATTTCGTATGAAACAACTATTTGAAACTAAAGTAAAATTTAGAAAATCAAAAATAAATAGAACAGTTGTCCAAAATATTGAATGAGTACAGTAACATACTTGAAAGAGGCTTAATAATTTTTAAATTCTTCATTGCAGTGGCCCTTTTATTCATGAGTTCAAGGGAACTAAGGGAAAAACACACTTTTGAATTTTGAATGAAGAGTATTTTTCATTATGTTTTACAAAATATGTTTTAAAAACTTAAAACTTATATGCTGAAATAAGTGGTTACCATACAGGTTATGAGCAATTTTAAGCAGTTTTGTTATTACACTGTAATGAGCAGTTTGATCTCTGTGACAATCTAGACCATAAAGAAAAGCAATTTCACTTTAAGTATTTTTTTTTTTTTTTACATAAATATTGTTCCTGCTAAAATGCTCATGGCCAAAAACATCATAGAAACATTAACAGAATCAGTTAAAGAGATTATGTTTATGAGTCTGGTTCCCCATGGAAGGAAATATTTTTAAATATCTTATGGTTTCCCATGTGCTACATAATATGCCCTATTTTGACTTACTTTGCTAGAATAAAATGATCACCCTAAAACTTTATATTTTTAGTACATATTTGAGCCATTCTGAACCACTCATAATAGGGTGCTTTATCACAGTCATGCAAGTTTTATTTCAAATTCTTTTTTTGAAGCAGTGCACTGTAGAAAAAGCAGTTTTGATCAACACCTCCTTTAATAAGCCTTAGCTTTGTTTTATATTATCATACGTGATTATCACTAATGACTGTATTTTAGTTTGTGCTATATTGATTCTTTCCACCTGATTTAGTTCAGTAAACTACGAAGATTCATGTTTTGGCATAAAGTTTGGGAATTTGTGTGCAAAAGTAATCAGCACTTCATGTATGTGTATGGAATTCAGTGGGATTTGGGTCAATCCATAAGTGAATTGTCTGATGCTATGAAAAAGGAAAATACCCAGACCATTTCCTTTATGATACAAAAAAGCCTATATCAATGGCTTTGCTTCCAGTTATTTAAATACTTTATTAGTAAATGTACTTCTCTCTCTTTAGGTGGTTAAGTTCTTTGCTATCACAGATTTTATCAGTATTTTGTTCAGCACTTCTCACTCACTAATGAGATGGCACAATATTTTTTGGGAAAAATCTGCTGGCATCAGTCTAATATTTTCCTTAGGAGGAATCACAGGTGTCCTGTATAGGATTTGAATAGCTGTTTTTCATCAACTCAACTTCTTGTTTAAAACATTCATGGCTTCAGTTGAATAGTATGTTATAACCCAAACCAGAATTTTGGTTTCTCAACTGTCATTTTTGCTTGAATTAAACCTCTGTTTGTGAATATTATTGCACTCAGACATTGGAAGACCTGCTCTCCACTGGGTATAAATGATGCTACAAACCACCACTCTAAGAAATACAGGAAATAAAAGCCAGTGATAAAGAATGGGCAAGGTATAGAAAGAAATGAAGTGTTCAGAATGAAAGTCAAAGCAAGTATCCAAATTATGAAGAGAATTCAAACTGTCTTGCTGCTGTCTCCAGTGAACAAGTGTTTGATAATACTGAGTTCTATACCATCAGATGTTTCACACCAGTCATGCCTTCTTTGTTGGTCTTTCATACCAGTAAGATGTGCCTTTTGTCTTCAAATTCTTCCAATTACCCTTTGTCTGGGTGAAAAAGGTCCACAATATCTTTACTGTATTTTGGACCTTGCCATCTGATTTTCATGTGCTTTTGACAAATATGGAAGTCTTCTAGTAGAGAGCAGCTATTAGCAGAAGTTGATGTACATTATGCTTATGGGTGGATTTCAGTTGTGAAGTCTTAGTAACATTCCATGGAATTATATTATGACATAACACATTTTTTATTATTATGCAGTGGTTTATTCCTGCATATTTCTATTTTATGCATTTATATAATACAGTGATTATATGATGTTTTACATTCAATCTGTTCTCCTGTGCTCTTTTTAAAGCAATTTATCCTCTTCTGTTCAAATCTGTCCATATTGCTGTTTTGTTTAGTTTTCTGCTTGCAAAAGCATGGAAAAATCTGCTTTGTCTGTGGGTATACACAGAGGAATTTTCAGAGAAGACTTTCTTTTTCTCTTCTTAGGGAATTAAACTTGTAAAGTTTATTCAGTTGTGTTTTATCAAAGGATTCCAACTCAAAGTTGTTGTAGCACTCAAATTGGAGTTTAGTTGTTCATTTATAAATATGCAGTAATTGTAATAAAACAAAGGTCACTGCAGAATTCCATTGAGCATTATTTGCATTCACTGTTAACAAGAAATATAAAATGCTCTTTAGGACAGAGAAAGTTGTACATTATATAAAATACAAATTTACAAATTATGCATCCCCGATTTATGAATATTTCAGAGGTTCAGCCCTTTCTGATGTTAGTTTAATCTCAAGGGGAAGACAGTCAATTTTTTCAAAGTCATTCTTGGTTTTGTTAATCTTTTAGAGAAGGTATAAATAAAATTTTTGTCAAATTACTGACACAGTTTTCTGATGGACTAGCCACCATCAGAATTAATAAGCACAATCAATAGTAACAGGGTACAAGATCCATGTTGTTACTTTGCTCTGCAAAGGCCAAGTTATTGTCCTTACCCAAGACAAATTCACCATTCCATCAATATAATTTGGTCTAAATGCAGATTAGATTAGACATGACAAAAAAGGTGCAAAATAGTAATAACGTATTTGTACTACCAAAAGCAAATTACTTCATAATTTTTATTTATAAATTCTTTTTTTCTTCCCTGTAGTTTTACTTTTGAAACCATCCTTGACATTTAGTAGAACAAAGAAGATATACTTTCAAGAAAGCTCACTTATGTAAATTCTTGCTGCATTTCTTTCAGTTTCAGCTGGTTAGTTGTCTCTGTGTGCTTTATTTCAGTTTCATTTTCATCATCTGGAGGGGAAAAAAGCCATATGATGCACTCAAATTAGTATTTCTTTGATGGTGTTAAAAATGCATGCAGCTGAAATTTGGAAGCAAGCTATTTTCAGTAATTAAGGCCAAATTTTATTTATATCTTCTAGAAATGGCAGAAACCACAACAAAAATATAAAATTTGAATAGCATCCATTTTCTGGTAGCTCAATAGAAAATTGGTGACAATGGGCTGAACGTCACCCACTTCTGGGCAATTTTTGCTAATTTGCTCTCTTTAATTCTTTGGGCGGTGTGAAACATTTTGGGAGCTGACTGGTACCTGTTGTTCTTCACGTACTGCTAGCCCATTTGTCAGTTATGTAGGGATCCACCTACAATATGATTATTATAATTATGTAGGAATACACATACATTACTTGTGTTAAATAGGAATTTGTTAACCCTTTTCACTTTCTGAGGTATGCTATAACATGTTGCTTGTGAGAATCTAAGGGCCCATTGTGGCTTTACTGCTTTCCCTTCACTGAGTTATTCTAGTACACCAGCCAAGTAGAAAATTATTCACCTTAGTTTTTTTAGATGTATGATCTTCATGTTGGGCAAGTGTGCTATAATGGCCCAGCTAAGCTTCCTTTGGAACCTAGAAGTGGCACAAAAAAGAGACGGGGAGAAGCAGCAACCCTGGTTCAGTGCAGTTTAAATTTGCTTAGGTAAAAATGTCTGTCAAAAACTGGTCGAT